AAAAAAAAAAAAAGTTCTGTGCAACTCGCCCCGGGCGACCTAAGCAGAAACTCCAAAAAAATTTCCAGATTTCCAAAAATTTTTATAAATTCAGATCGATTTTTAAATTTTTAGACCAAGGTACGTATTTCAATCACTTCTAGGCTATTTACATTTTGTACTTAGTCATTTTTCATTATTATTTGCTAATAAATGCTTGTTCGAAGGGAAAAAGGTACATCCATTCTTAACACCTCGAATCACCCGTTAGAGAATTTAATTTTTCTATATATTTGAAGTGTGAAAACTGCATGCTTTGGTGCTTTTATTTAATTTAGATTAATTACTTTAGTTTGTTTGTTACTTTATGTTATTGAGATACGGTAAAGTATATCACGTCTCAAGCTATGGAGAAAATACTTCATGATTTCTTCGCACCCTTGTTTAATAGACCTCCTAATTGTATAGTTTTGCCAGAATTACCTGAAGGAATTGATTTTCAAATTAATTGTGACATCATTAAAATATTACAGATATTTACTAGTAATGAGAAAGAAGACCCATACGCACATGTCTAGAGATTTCTTCGAATATACTCTACCTTTAATGAAAATAAATTAGGACCAGTGTGCATACATCTTTTCCATTATAATTACACGAGAAAGTTTTAAAATGGTTTAACTCCATAGCCGGAAACTAAATTCAACACATGGGAACAATTGAACTCTAAATTTTTAACAAAATATTACCCCATGTCTAGAACGATAGATATTCGAAATAAAATTCAAACTTTTAGACAAAAACCTAATGAAGAATATTATGAAGCTTAGGATAGATTTAATGATCTACAAATACAATACCCACATCATCAATTCCAATCGAGTCTTTAGTTCAATGCTTTTACATTGGATTAACTCCCGCTTCTCGATTTGTGGTAGAATCCATGAATGGAGGAAATTTCTTAGTGATATTTCTACACAATGGTGTCCAAACACTAAAAGGGGGGTGAATAGTCCTTTTCAAAAACTATTTAACAAATATCACCTCACAAATAAAACAGATACAAATAGATATGCTCATGATATAACAAGTGCGGAATAAAAAGTTCAATCCTAAGCAAATCTAACACAAGAAGTAAAACCAACATACAACAAACATAAAGATGTAGACAAAGGAGTTAGTTATAAATCTCTACAGTAATCAACAAGTCAAGCTCCTAGTCCTTGGATACTTGTTCAACTAGACCAAGATAGATAAAAACTCTCTTAATCAATGAACTAAGTAATCCAATCCTAGTTATCCTAGTTCTAGGTTTGTTGTGGAGTATGAGGGGGTGAGTAGCGAAAGAGACACTCTCACCCTTTCCTCTATCACAATACAAACCTACTAAGAGATTGGTTGGAGGGGTTGTAGAGATTTCAAACAAACAACTAACATAAGCATATAAAGAAACTTAAGTAAAAATAAGCAAACCACAAGACAAGATTATAGTTGTTCGGTTAATGAAGTCTACGTCCACTCTTCAAGTGCTTCCTTGTATTAAGAATCCCAAAGCCAAGGTGAACCTCCTCTAGCTCTACACTACTCCCATTAGTGTTGGATTACAACTTGAAAGAAATGAAGACAAGTCCTTTAGCCTCCAACCAAGAATCCTCCTCTTGGATTTGTAATAGGGTGTAGTCACAATTACCCTAACCTAGATTCGCAAATCTAGGGTTTTACCCATTTGTTCAAAGAATAAGATTTGGGGTTTTCTCTCTCTTACAACAATCTCTCAAAGGTGAAATGAGAAAGGAATTGAAGCTCTCTTGGGTTTATAAATCACCCACAATATACTCTCACTCGACTCACAAAGATGAAACCGGTTAGCGTCAAAAGAGTAGAATTTATCGACTCCATCTAAAGTCACAAGAATTCTACCTAGTTTTTTTTGTGTTGTGCACGAGTTAAGACCATAAACCATAGTAAAATTCATTCAGGAAATCAAACTTTGCTCTAATACCAACTTGATACAGATTAACTAGGCAAAATACTATTGAATGCGGAGTTAAACAATAATAGTAATAAAGATGAAGACAAAACACAAAATCTCGAAGAAAACTATCTTCTTTAATAAGTATTATAAAAATTACAATAATCTCTGACTCACAATACTTTCTAGATAACTAAACCCAAGCCGTCTCACTAAACACACTAAACCTTAGTGGTTTCATTATATTTTTGGTTTATTCCAAAACATATATATTTATAGGCTTTGGGACAATTCTTAGTTGGCCAAGGCAACAAAAAAATTCCCCAAATTTTATTACTTGTAGAATAAGGAAACCTATTTTTAAGGTTTTCCATCCGTTGTCCTACATGGATGGATTAGAATTGCTAGTTCCCAAATAGGGTACACCTGTATCATGTCCTTACCCACACTTCAAAGCTCACAGTTAGAGCTTTCTCTCAATTGTTTGTGAAACAGTTTCTCAACCTTGGATGGTTATTAGTGATCTAAACGCCTTAACCTCACCTTCTGAAAAATGTGGAGGCCTCCCCTACGATGAGAAAGAATGTAAATATGCCACTGAAAGTATACAACACTTAGATCTTATAGATTAAGGGTTTGTGGGTGAACCCTTTACTTGGTGTTACAAGAGATGTAGCTCCCATTACATTAGGAAATTGTTAGATATGAGTCTTGTAATACACTCTTGGCAACTTTTGTTTCCGAATGTTAAATTATATCATCTTAATGTTGCAGCATCAGATTACTGTCCTCTCCTCCTTTTACTCAAGTTCCATGACAAATCTGGTTCAAAACCTTTTAAATTTCAAAGCATGTGGACCAAAGATGAGAACTATATATAATTCCATCATTAACATGGCCTAGAAAAAGTGCCCCTTATACAGGAAACCCAAATCACTACACATCTGAGTTCCACAAAAAAAAAACTTTAACTATCTGGAACAAGAAGGTTTTTGGAAATATCTTCCACAAGATTTCATCTCTTAATAAACAAATGTCCAAAATTCAAGCTGCATAAGTAATGATGATAATGATAACCTTATCACAAATATCTCTCATGAGGAAATCAAATCTTATGTGTTTAGCATTGGGCCTTTAAAAGCTTCAGGCCCAGATGGCTTCATAAGTATGTTCTATAAACAATCCGGGAATACAATCCAAAATGAAATCTTTGGGATGGTGAATGAATTTTGGGATCAGGACATGAACATTGAGCGCATTAATCATACCAATATTGCTTTGATTCCAAAAATACAATAACCTTCACTTCCCTCACACTTCAGGCCCATTAGTTTGTGCAACATGACTTACAAAATTTTATCTAAAATCCTTGCTGACAAACTAAAAGAACTCCTTCTAAACATTATCACTCCTATCTAATGTGGAAAAAAGTAGATATCTGACAATATCATCATCACACATGAGATAATACATGCTCTTAAAAAGGAAACAACATATTGGAGGTCTGATGGGCCTAAAAATTGAAATGTCAAAAGCTTTTGATAATGTTAACTAGGAATCCTTGATGGCTACCTGACAAACTTAGGATTCCATTATAAATTCATAAACTTAATCTATAAGTATATCTCCTTAATTTAATCCTTTGTCGTCATTATTAATGGTACACCCCATGGTTTTTTTAGACCTACAAATGGTCTCAGACAAGGAGTTCCAATCTCACCCTCACTCTTCATCATTTGTATGGACCTCCTATCAAGACTAATCCAACAAAAATGTGATCAAAAGAAAATCAATGGGATTAAGGTCTCTAGACATAGTCCAACTATTTCTCACTTTTTTTTATGGCATTTTCATCTTTTCCAAAGCTAAAATTGAGGAAGCCCACGAAATCATTCAAACACTCAATTTGTTTAGTGAGATCTCCGGACAACAAATTAATTTTAAAATTTGGAGTCTTTTTTTAGTAACAACAACTTGATAACATGATTGAAAATATTCAAAAGACACTCACTATGAATCACTTAACACAAAGAAGACTTTTATCTAGGAACTCCCTTGTTCCTTGGATAAAAGGAATCCACCCTCTTCAAAAGCCTCATTCATAGAGTTGAACAAAAATTGGCAGGCTGGAAAAGCAAAGTTCTATCCCAAGCAGGGAAAACTGTGCTTATCAACTCTGTTTTATCTGTTATACCTTCCTATCAAATGACTTGTTTCCAGATCCCAAAATCTATCTTAGATACAATTAACAAACTTTAGATAGACTTTTGGTAGGAAAAAAAAAAGATAATAATCAAAACACTATGCATCTTAAAGTTGGGCCTACCTCCAAAAAATTTAATCTGTTGTGATTATTACCTGTGGGCTATGTGGGACCAATAGAAAACTACCATGTGTTTTAAAAATTATTAATTAACTTTAATCTGGTCCCACTAGGGTTAACAGCATCCTTAGGTGGAGGTTTTTTATTTGTCCCACATATTCCTCATGCTTATATCACAACATATTAAATTTTTCAGGCCTACCTCTACCTACCTAAAAGACTAAGAAGGTTAGGCATAAAAGATTTGAAGGCACAAAATATTGCATTTCTATCTAGAATTGCCCGAAGAATGTCTTCCCACCCTCTTAATCTACGCTCTCAAATTTTGAAAGCAAGATACTTCAAAGACTCTACCCCACCTTATGGACTTAGCAATTAATCTCTTCCATCATCAATAAAATCTTTCCATTTACTTGTAAAAGCATAGGCAATGAGACTTTTATTAACATTTGGGATGACAACTGGATCCCATCCTCCCCAAACTACAAGCCCATTAGATCACCAAACACTACAAATCACAACCTTCAACATATCAAAACTGTTGATGAATTCATCCTCCCCAACATTAACATTTGGGATCTTTCTCTTCTTAACTAACTCTTTCACCCTTCAACAGTTAATCAAATAAAGAACACCCTTATAGCTGGCCCACACTCTTTAGACTCCACCAAATGGATGAGAACTAAGAAAGGGGAATTCACAGTTAAGTAAATGTATAACCTCCTAACAAATCAAAACTCAATGGAC